GTGAAATTGTTTATAATCCACAAGATATTAATAGCGTATTCCAAGCCTGTTACATTAAACTTTACTCCCCCAATTACAACCAAATTCATCAGAAATAGACATTTTCTTAGATAGTTTAGAACTGCCAACACTATCCAGAGAACAAGCTGACAGATTAGATGCTCCTCTCACCATCGATGAACTCCATAAAGCACTGCTTTCAATGCCAAATAACAAATCACCCGGACCTGATGGACTACCAGCTGAATTTTATATACATTTTTGGCAAATGCTATCACCACTGTTTCTCAAAGTCACTATAGAAATTAAAGACACCTCCACAATACCAACACACATGAATACAGCCATTATGACACTCTTATTAAAAACAAAGACCCAATCCATCCTTCTAGTTATCGTCTCTTATCACTTATTAATTCAGACTTAAAAATCATTACCAAAGCGCTAGCTACTAGAATAGAGACAGTCACTCCAATATTAATCCACCCAGATCAAACAGGTTTAATTAAAAACAAAAATGCTTCAGATAGCATCTGTACATTATTTAATTTGATTAATCTTGCACAACAAAAACAAACCAAAACCATAATTTTATCACTAGATGCAGAGAAAGCATTTGACAAAGTTAACTGGACATTTTTTTTCTGTACATTACGCACATTTGGGTTTGGAGAGTCGTTCATCCATTGGATAAGAACACTGTACACGTCACCTAGGGCAACAATAAGTACAAACAGGGATCAGGTCACAAAGTTTCATTTCACAGCATAGTACCAGACAAGGATGCCCACTCTCACCATCTCTATTCGCCATTATCATTGAGCCTCTAGCAGCAGCTATACGACAGAACAATATAATTAGAGGAATACAAGATACTTACTCAGTATATAAAATTAGTCTTTATGCAGATGATTTATTGTTATATTCACAGGATCTCTATAATTCTCTACAGGAAACTTTACACATTATTAATATTTTATTAGTAGTACTGTTATCGACATTGTTATTGGTCATTTTTTATTTATTTATTTTCCTTCCTTTTCCCTTTCTTGCGTTTCATAGACTGCATAAGTTGGAAATACCCACATTTCATACACTACAATCTTGTAAAACACTGTATCTTTTTGTAATGTCATGTATGTGTTGTCTTGTCTCCCATGTTCGGTACTGTTTTGTTAGTGTGTTATTTTGTTTCAATAAAAAAAATAAAATTGTCACTGAGTGTTATGAGTAAAAACACATTAGATACAAATCTAGATTTACTGCAGTTTACTGTACACACAGCTTTACCACAACAAGAGGGGCTCCAATTACAGCAGGGACAAGACAGTGAAGTGTTCACATTTGTATGTGATTTACCACAAAACACAGACCAACCACCCGAATGTGCAGTGTAGTCAAGTGTAGTCATTCGTATTGTGCCGCTAGAGGTGAAATTCTTGGACCGGCGCAAGATGGACGAAAGCGAAAGCATTTGCCAAGAATGTTTTCATTAAGTCAACTAGCTGATTCCTCCATGGCACTTGGGTTGAGTGAGTAAGTGCAGAGAAGATATATCGCTCGGTCACTGTCTTCCACTGAAAGAGGACGGGTGGGCACTGCCACTACTACTGTAGGGTCAAGTAAAAACTCTCTAAAGCCATCTGCATGTCTCAAAAGAGGGGATCTAATGATGCATGTTCATGTACTATGCTTCACCTGAGCTCAAGGGAAATCAACTGCTGGAGCAGCCCAGTAAAGAGCAATGATGTGCAAGAGGCCTTCAAACCACTTCCTGCCTGTTGGTTAGTCTACAGGATGTCACATGGCTGCTGCATCCTGCAGAGACTGGATTTGCATTCATGAGTGGGCTGCATGTGTGTAATACACCGAATCAGAGATGGGACGTGTATCTCACTTTCTTTTCTTCTTCATTTTCCTTATTCCTAGAAATAAAATGTGACAAAAATTAAAAAAAAACCCACGATGATGAAGATGACAGAAAATAGCAATGCTGCAACACACATTCATACAGTGGTTCTGTTGCACTGTATAATGCACCATCTTCTTCATCTTTAACTGAATATAACTTGCCACAGAAATACAACATCATCTCATGTGTGCATCACCTCTGTGCTGATAAGAGGAACCACAACATGTTTATTCTAGTCAAAGGCAAAATGAGTAACAGTTAAGCACATTAACTACACAGTTCAAGTTTGTCTAGAAAAGACAACTTCTTTATTTCTTGTATTCTTGTCCTGAGGTGAAAATCTGGAAAAGACTGACCTTTTCTTGCCTTTGCTTATCTCTCTTTCTGACCCACTACCTGTCTCTTAGACAATTTGTCAAGTGTAGGTTAGGATAAAGTTAACAGATGCTATAAGAATAAAAAACACAGTGGTGACCTCAGTGTGACTCCTTGAAAATATGATTCACAAACCATGCTGAGACGAATTTATCTCCTGTTAGCATAGCTTTGTTTGTCAGAAGCTGTGTTAATCAAAGAGCAGAGAGGTGCCAGAAAATGAGAAAAGTGAGAGACAAGTTGTTACTGAGTGTTAGGAAAACAAAGTTTTTATAGAAAAATGTGACATCTCGTGTTTGGGATTGTTTTCAAGCAGAGAGTGATAAGCGCTTAAGGTCAAAGGTCACAGCACAGAAAGTGTTGCAGTGCTGACAGCCAAGGCCCTGCTGCATGGATGTCGGCCCTCGGGCCTTCCTCACATCCCGCTGACATGTTATCTGCACATTCAAATTAACACTAAAGCAACTTTTCTGCAGCCTTATTTAGCATAATTGAAATGGCTCCACAGCTAAAAGTTCAACACTTTCCTAATAATCTTCTATTTTTCCCTCACTGAGGAACTTTGCTGTGAGTTTGGGAAATGGTTTGGCTAGTGCTTCAAGTGGTTTGGTAAAATTTATCCCATTGATATTTCATGTTTCTTGAAGTTTTTTTCTGTAAAAGATGTTTGTTTTAACTAAAGTGGTTAGGAAAGGAGGTGGAACTGTGGCTGTGTTGGACATCTCTAAAACCCAATGCTGGCAACTGAATTAATGGTGGAATTTAAAAATTTGGCCTGAACCATCACTTTAAATGGCCACATGTTTCCAACACATCATACACTAATTATGAACCAAAACTCAAGCAGAATTGCATAATCAGCATTGAAGTCCTGGCTACAACAAAAACAAAACATATTACAGAGGAACTTTTACAGACTGCCACACATTCAAAACACATGCACAAATAACAACTCAGTTTATGACTGGGTTTCACAATTGGCAGTATTTTTGAAAGTACAAGTTGAGAAGAAGAGATACAGTCAGTATGGAGAGATGGAATTACTGAAGCAACCCATAAGTCTCTAAAAGAGACCATGGCATGCTTGTCGCTGTTTTTGACTTATCTACAATGTTATAGTGGTGAATTATCATCTAGATGTGACCTAAAGCTCAAAAAAATGAGGTGTACATACTGTATGTTTTAGTATTTCTATGCAGAAGCAATTCGGTTTATACACATCTCGCAAACTCTCGGTCGCAAGACTTTTTTTCTATCAAAAATAAAGTATTAACGTGATAGTTTAAGGATCTCCTTGAATGGCCATCAAATCCAGAGAGTTGTGCGTTCATGTGAGCTCCACTGGTGCCCCCATCATATTGGCAAAATGTTATTTTGCCTTGTTTGTTAAGTATGTTTTAAATAAAACGTTTTTTTTTTTTTTTTATTACATCCACCAATGCCATTGTAAAAGCAAAATTTTTCAACTGCACCTGGTTTTGTGGATATAATTTACCTCCTGCTGCTGCACTGTGACCAGAGGATGTGGAGAAAAATACAGGGCCTAGGGTTACTACATGTCCAGGGACCCGCTGTTTTACCTGAATGGGTCTAACCTACAAGCAGCCAGCCTGTGAAGCCCCCACAGAGGTTAGTGATCTGCTCATCAATGCTGGATTTCCCCAGAGCACAGTACCTGTTTGTTTTGACTGCTTAAGGTCAGTGTGTCTGCTGCATGTGATGTGTTGCTGGTTAAACAACAGATTAATGACCCATGATGTTATTGTCTGTGTTTTGCTACCTATTGGAAGTAATTTCACTAGTTTGGGACTGTACGTGGTCATGTGGGAGAAGACACAGTGACCACCAGTTGGATTTACCGACCTTCGAGCTACTTGAAAAGGGAGTGATGTTTCCACTACTCAGTGGGGCTTAACAGTACGTTTAAAAAAACATGTTGCATGTCTGGTATGCCCAGGTATTTCATTCCATCTAGTATTTTTTCCAAAGAAGGAAACCAACATATTGTGTCAGGCGTTTATTCATCATGATTTATCATATCGTACCTGTGTGTGTCTTCTATGTGTTACTGCAGAACAAACATACCTCAGTAATCCCTTTAAGACAGTATGGCTTGTTTTTCATAATTTGTGGTCAGACTTGCAATTTCCACTGTGGTGGTTTGATCCTTTACACCAAAAATCCTTGTCATGCTGTTCCTCCTTGAATGTACCACAGAAAGAGAAAGTGTAAACTGCACCTCAACAAAGTGCCAAATCCAGTAGGTTTCTGTGGTTGAGGAAGGACTAATCTTATAACACTTTGCCAATAGGGAGGTTGGGATCCAAGGTGTTGCAAGACAAATAGGAACAAATCCACAGCAATGTCTGTGGTTCAACACTGCTCTCACAATAGTAACTTGGGATCACAGAATGACTGATGGATAATCATTCTATCAGTTAAATGACAAACGGCTTTGTCAGTGGACTAATCCCAATCTGCAGTATGTCCGTGTTCTTTAATGAGAATCAGAGGCATAAAAAATCACTTCTAGATGCCCTGAAGGCTCTTGTATCCTCACTTTCAAATAAGCCAGATCGCCTGGATTTTTGTGGGTCGTCTGCAGTTTAGGGTTGCTGGAATCATCATCATCACCTTTCAACCCTTAGGGACAAGTTTAAAATTTCAGTGGGTTTACTGTAAGTTTTGGTTTTACTTAAGGACCCAGAGCTGGTTTGGCGCCTCATATGGGACATTCTTGCGGACTCGAGTTGCCCCTCCCTAGAAGTCCCTCAGTGCGCAGACTCGCGCCTCTCCGCTGTCAGGGCAAGGCAGACTGACAGTATGGCGGCGGGGTACAGCTGGAAGGATGCTACTGTCGCCAGTGATGTGTCTGTCGCCGGCAGGACATAAATGGATTACTGACAGCAAAAAGAGTAGAGGACCTATCGAGAAAGACTAGTCACCGTGAACTTCAACGATGGCCAGGCTCGCCGACTACTTTGTAGTGGTCGGTTACGATCTCGACAAGCGAGGTGGGTGCTTGAATTAGCCTGACGTTACTCTGCTAGCTTTAACGGCGTATTATTAGCTGTGGATAAACAGGAGGCGGGGACGCGCCAACCGTTACTGGAAGCTGACCGTCGCAAAGCACTGTCATCTTGTAGTTAACCCTCAACTTTAGGCCGAGGATGCGCAAGGCCTCACGGGATTAGTGTGCTGAAGTGCTAGCCGGTCAGCTGATGCCCCGTATTTCTGACGGGGACCACACCGAATGCATAACTTTACTGCAGTGCTTAAATTCCAGACATGCTTTCGCTTTAGCAAAACAATGTATTTAACTTGGTGACAACTAACTTAGGCTAACTTTATTTGCTAAGAGCTAAACTTAGCTGGACTAGATTTCAGGGGGCTGGCTGATTGGTCGGCTGCCATCCAAGTTAATGTTAATTAATTTCATATGCATTTTCCCCAATTGCCTCTTGTCTAGAAATGTTATCAGTGCCGCTGTGTGGCGATTTAAGGGTTGTTTTTAAACCAGAAATTCGCACAGCATCTGTTAGACAGCGTCTTGTCGGTGCTTTGGCTGCAGGGTCTTAAGCAGTTACATGGGACGCCAGACCATGAAAACCCCGCTGACTTCCGCTTGGACTTGATTTAAAGCGTGATTTTAAAACTGGAAATCGATGCGTCTAGTCGGAGGAGTTGCTGATTGTTTTCTTTGTCTGTGACTTGTGTGGATTAACTCAGCTGGCTTTGCCCCTCCCTGAGCCCCCTTGGACCGGAGCTCTGTTCCCTTCTGTTGTTGGACCATTATCCGAGTCCCCCACCCTTCAGCCTGAGCCCTGGCCTAGATCTGTGCAGTATAATGGCCCATTTAATCATGAAATATTCAACCATGCAGCTTGTAGCGTGGTAGGCCTTTTTTTTTTTTTTTAGAGGGAAACTTTGCCTATGATTTATTCATAAGAAGCAAACCATGACACGATAAGAATAAAGGCAGGCAGACACGTGGCTTTTATCTTCATGATGCTGGAGCAACTACCCTTACATTTCTGATTACATAAATGCACTTACTACATTTTGTATTTTCTTCAGAAGAGGCTGAATACAGGATGCTATATTGTGGACCATGCAAGCGCTGCAGAAACATTTCCTGTTCTACCATACATGAATGCAGTGCAGAGCAGAATTGGCCTGTAAAAAGCATCTGTGAACCAGACATTAAAGCTGCAGTAACTTTAATGAATTAAGGGTCCCATACCTTGTAAAGCATGCACACGTAAGAATGATGATGATGATGATTGTTGGCATTGTCCTACAAGTGCTGCTGTACTGTTTACAGTAACTTTTCACATTGCTTCTAGGTGGGGGCATTTTGTTGTGTTAAGCATCTCCAGTAGCAGCTATGAGATTACTCCCATCATTATCGTCATCACCATCATCATTAAGTGCACTGACAAGCCATCATTAACTATATGAGTACATCTTCTGCAGTTAGAGCAATACGCCTCTGCCCAGGCTTTGTTTTGATGTCGTCTTTTGCTCCTCTAGTTTTGTCTGGTTCATAACACATCATTACCCCACTCCAAAGGAGACGGAGAGAGATTTTAGTATTGTTTATGTGGGCCTGTTCCTCTTGAAAACACTAATCAATAATCGGTCTGCTATGGTGTCAGTGGTCGATGTGAGGGGGTGGGATTGCATTTAGAGTTGGCGGCGTCCACATTTTTGTGCATGTGTGCGACTGAAATGAAAACACTTGGCTATGAATCAAGAATGAAAGGTCCTCGATTGTAAGAATACCAGGAATTCTGTAGCACAGTAGCATTTCCTCTTTGCTAAATATTTCACGCATCCTGTCTACGTGTGTGTGTGTGTGTGTGCGCGCGCTTTCTGTGTATGTGTGTGAGTGGGTGCTGGTTGTCTCTCAGTCAGTGGAGTATTTTACAAACCTGGGTTTGACACCATTGCTGTTCATCTGCCTTTCACAGACTTTAGGGATGTTTATTAACAGGGAGAACTGTGTCTTGTCTGTGGGGCTTGTCTAAAACAGGAAACAGAGGAGAGGACCCAAGGGAGACTTCTGTTTAGTGCGCACTAACCCTAACCCCCCCCCACCTACCTTAATTAATACAGGCACTGTACTTTGAGTGTGTTGGTCATTGCTGCAGCATGTTTGTTGGACTGACAATGCTGACGTGCACATCTTCCACTGGAGCCCAGGTTCTTTTACACATAAATACACCCCTAAAGCTTGAACAAGGTGCATGCAGGGTGGACTGAACCTGCATTGGTTGGTTGTTTTTACAAGTCTCGGATTGTCTCTGTTGCACCGTGTTGTCATGTGGGTAGGGACACAGCTAACAATGTGTGCGTGATACCTAACAAAACAAAAGCTGTGTGCAGTAACTGCCTGGGACAATTGTGTAGCAGTGGTTGTGGTATCAGTTGGTTATCAGTTCTCTAAGCAGAAAAGTTTCATATTTCACTTTGGGTACCAATTTTATTAGCAGATTGAGTGAGATTTGACTAACTGACACTGATGCATGAGAGGTAGTTTTGGTTATAGTCGCACTCATTGACATTCTTTGAACAGACAATTCCTATTTTGTCTGTCTTTAATCTGAAGTTCTTACAGCATTTAACACTTGAAAACTTGAGTACTCTTTTATTTACTTCTTGAGAAATTTGACTTTATCATGGTGTGTTTTTTCAACATAACATGATAGAGGATTTTAACACCCTAAGATTAATACATTTTCACCTTAGAGACAAGGCAGGACACATTCTTTCAAGTATTTTTCTGTCTTAGAGAACAGACTGTAGAGAGATGACAGGGAATAGGAAGGAAATAAGAAATGACATCAAACATGCATGCAACAATATATCTGATTCCTAGTCAGTGAACTGAAACCCCAAGCCCACCTAAGTGTCCTGCAGCAGGATATATTTCTGAATTAAACATTCATGCTATTGTGACAAAGCTATGGCTAATTTATGTGGTGCATACAGGTGTGTTCCATACTGGGAATGTCAATACAAATAAAGGGCCACATGAAGCTGTGTAAAGCTCAGAGGGGAAATAGAAGGCTCTTAAACCAAGATGAAGTAAGTGCAAGAGCATGAGGAGAGAGAGGAGTGTGTGTGAGATGATGCCAGCAGCGCCTGCCTGTGGGCAGCCACTTCCTCCATCACTTCACAGTAGGGCTGCAGTCTTTCAGGCCCTCCAGAAATAACCCTCACAATCTGCCTTTCATAGGGGAACAGAGTGACGCTGGGTTGAGGCGGTACATTGGTGGTTGTGTTTGTGTGCTGGCGTGGACTGTTCGCCAGACTGCCACTCAGATGGATGCCTGTGTGTTTGCTGCATTACCATGGAAACATTTGCCCCCTCTTTGGTCTGTGGGTTGTGATGAGCATACTGACAAGTAGGCTTGTGCCTTTTCTTTAAACAACTACTGATATTTATGGCGGATTTTAATTGTGGCAATATTTTGTCCTGCTGTGCAGTAGGTTTAAATGTTTGTGTTTTCATGGTTGCTATTTGCAGCTTTTATAGACCACTGTTGTGGTGACATTGTCATATCACTGTGATGTTGCTCTAGTCTTAGTGTGCATGTGTGTCTGTGTTAGCAGCATTCTGTCTGCTATGCTCAGTGGTTGTTATTCAAAAGGGAGCCAACTGCCTCAGGGCCTCAAAGCTGCCCTCATTCTCATTCTCTCATTCCCATTACACAGATATAGATGAGAGGGTGTGTGTGTGTGTGTGTGTGCTGGGGGTAGGGATGTATACATGCTCCAACACACATGCTTTTGGACTTGGTCTTCTGCCCTAGATTCAAATGCAGTTCAGGTAGTCAGAGTGCACATTTAAAGATTAATTGCAATTAAAATCTTATCTCCTGTTTTTAAAGTGGTCACCACAGTGGAGCCACATCAATGCATTGACACGTTCTTTTTAGACCTGAAAACACTCTAAATGAAGCTAAATAAAGGAAAAGACATGAAATCTATTCATGTGAATATGTTTTGTGTGTGTAATGGGGATGCCCTCATCCTTACTGCTCTGATGGTATCCCTGGAATTCAAAGAATCTCTGGGTCTCCTCAGGACAAAGGCTGAATCAGTGCTGCTCACTGTCAGTCTGTTGGGCACCTCAGCAGAGCAGTCGTTCACATCCCTGAGGGCTGATTCCAGCATGTCTGGACTGTTTTGATTTGAAGATAGGGGGTTGTTAGGAGTTAGTTGTGTGAGGTTGGCCAGCTGTGGTAACCACATCACTGGCACATCTGGTTTGTGCCGTCCTACCTCTGAGGAAGGGGCTGTAGACTGTACTGTATATGGTTGCAACAAACACTTGCACACAATATTATCCCCATTTTTTCTTATTACTTTGAGATAAAATTGTTATATGTATATTAAAACCAGTCTTATTTACCCACAAATTGTGTTTTTGTGCTTTTTTTTTTGCTTTGACATGCAGATTGTATTGTCACTGTGAAACACAGACCCAAAGTCAGCTTGACATTTCAGTGGAATGATAATATTAACAATTCTCTTATCTTTGGCAGTCTGTTTCTATTAATTCTCTCTATGGTGGATAAATAAATGCATCAGAAATACTGGATGAGTGATTGGCTTTATCAAGGCTGCCTTCAGGTCAAATCTGTCAGGAAAAAAAGGGAAATCTGCCTCTCAGCTACCCACTGCTCCTGCTGTAATCTCATATGTGGCCTTGGATTGGTTTAAATATGCAGATTAAAGGACTGTTATAGGTTGAGTTTAATGTCTGTACTACTGTACTATATTTATGGCACATCTTTGGTGCCTTCCCCTCCCCCCAGAAACAGGTCTCAGTAGATTAAAGGTTATTTTGATTATTGTTGAAGCCCAGAGCTTTAGATGGATTATGTGTTCCTGGTTGCCAACTGCTAAGAATGGAAGATATGACCCCAGTGCTACATTATGCTGTTAGAAGATTAATAATGCAGATGTTACACAGTGCACTTGGTGTACTGTAGACTGTAAAGCT